TCGATGTCCCGTCAGGATCTCTTAGGTTATTTCCAGTGTCTGTGTTGGAGCAGAATAGACCCAGAGAACTTTACATGTTGAAGGGGTAGCGTGGGAAGCTGAACAAGCTGTGGGGTAAATTACAAGGCAGAATAGAGTCCCTGTTTGATTTTAGAAATTCTGTTATAGTTTTAGCTACAAAAAGGCCCTGAATGTGTACTGGTGCATTAAAACAATGGTGCAGTTGCTTCTTTCCAAAAGATCTAGCCTTTTCTTGCTATCAGTCTTTTGTGTCTTGTCCAGGACTGAGATACATTAGTGGTGATGTTTTGGTACTTCACCTAACAACTGCTTTTACAATGGGAGCATTTTAATAGAGAAATTACAGTGCCATACAGTTTTATTGGAAGTCTTGGAATAGTTCCGTAGATTAGGTAAATTTCTCTCTGTAGAAGTGTCCATGCCTTCCTTTCTCCCTCCCCACAGAAGTATAGATGAATATTAATGACAGAGAATGAAGACTAAAAAATAAGAGTAATAAAACCAAACCTGTCTTGGTGATTGATGTATTTTTGTTTATTGTTGAAGCTTTCACAGATCTCCATGATGTACCTGCTCTACGTACCAATTTGAGTAGGCTGCTGCTTTTCCTTTTGACAGTACTGAGGTGTATACAGCTGTGCAGCATAAATTTATCATGTCATTTTGATTTTAACCTATATTATATATCTAGCTCCCATGGACCTCAGTGCTCCTAAATAATAAATGCACCAATCTTTCTTTGAAGCCTGAAATAAGGGAAGAAAAGGGACAGGGCAGTTTCCTTCTCATTCCTTATTTTCCCTCTCAAGGCTCTTGGGAGGGGCTTCAGTGCCAACACTGCAGGAAGAGAGGTCTGTTGTCTTCCTGGGGCCCGGATTAGAGATGTCACCAGACGACTTCCCAGGCTGGTCCGATCCACGGACTATTATCCCTTAATGGTCCTACATGTGGGTGCAGAGGAGGCGGCAACGCGTAGCCTGAGAGCAATTAAAAGGGACTTTAGGGAGTTGGGGCGCACGATCAGGGACACAGGCGCACAGGTCATCTTCTGTTCGATACTCCCCAGTGCGGCCG